TTTTTTTTCACATTCTGTCTCTCACAGTTGAAGTGTACCTCTGGTGCAAATTACTGACCTCTGTCATCATTTTAGGTGGGGGAACTTGCACAATCAGTGGCTGACTAAATACTTTTTTGCCCCACTGTAGGTCTGAAGTTTTCTCTCCTACAGTGTCAGTGAATTGAACCAACACAGCCAGCAGATGGCAGTGCAGACACTCATATCATCATAAGCTGCACTTAAAAAAATATTTAATAAACTTAATAAAAGTCTTAATAATTTCAATTTTCAAAACAATTCAAGTTGTTCAAGTCCAATGAATAGTGTGAAATGGTGGAAAAATTAAGTGGTGAACTGCCAGAGGTTAAAAGTGTAAGGTTACCCAAAACTGAAAAATAATCTACATTTCAGAATTATACAAAAAGGCCTTTTTCAGCTAACATAAAATGGGTTAATAATTTAAAGTTGTTAAAGCAATAGAGGTTGAGCAAGCCTTGAAAGCTGGTGCTATTTCCAACTTTTCTGGATTACTTACAACCCCCTCTGTCTGCATTGTTGGAACACACTGTGGTACCATACCCTCGTGAGCATCAGTTGAAAAGTGTTGCACTGCAGAAAGTAGTGTGTTGCTACAAAAATGGTGAAAAAAAGACAATTAAGAGAATTGAAGAGAGACATACCATCATAACACTTAAAAATGTAGGTCTTTCCTACAGAGAAATGGCAAAGAAGGTGTCAGCGAGTAGTTTCCTTCACCATCAAAAGGCACTCAGAAACTGGGGCAAACTGTGACAGGAAGAGGTTTGGCAGACCCAAAGCCATAACTGAATCAGAGGACAAGTTTCTGAGAGTTAACAGCTTGCTTGAAAGGCGTCTCACAGAATCTGCTTTTTATCTCCTATAGGAGAGATGCATTGGAGTGTCACAGGTTTGGTCCTTTCAGAGGCCGAAGAGCTGATGGCTTGAGGCTAACATCTATTGTCACACAAGGACAAAGGACAGAATTTAACTGGATGATTAACTGGATATGTCAAAACAGTTAAATCTGTGTGAAAGGGACCTTTTAGCACAGTTATTTCACACAACAATTTTGCAGAATAGAAAATTATTTATGTTATCAGACTTACAAGCAAGTTGAGCATTGACTACAAAGGGACAAAGTGAAGTCGGACATAAAAACAAAAAAGGAAATTTACAATAAAAAAGTTGATGTGATTGTGTTTAAAACATTTCTAAACATATGAAAAACAGATTGTTTCCCCTAAATGACATTAAAAGATACGTGTAGACTTGATAACATTTTTATGATTATGTTCAGATTAAGACATTTGCACAGTAGTTGGGGTCTCTAAAGTTGAGAACCTGCTGGCTGAGTATTTTATAATATTGATTTAGACTGATATATTCAATTACTTTCTTATATAAAGATAAATAAAAACATGCAACACTTTATGGTTCTATAAGTCTCTGCAAGTATTTACATTTTCAAATGATCACATGTACAACATTGTCATTTGCCACTAACAATTTTTAACAAATCATGCACTATGTTGCACCATGTTTACACAGATGATCACTTATGTAACTATGTAACAAAGAAAAATCAAGTTTCTGATAATACTGAACTTGTCACCAAATCTGCAGCATTTTTTTTAAATGATCATATAGTACATTTAACAAACACATCTGTTTTTCAATATTTAAATCCAACTTTACCATGACATTGTCATGTTGCCACTGAGAACATCTGGTATTGCTTTCTTTGTATGTTAGTGGGGACCCTGGCATTGCGTGCTGTTCAAAGTGCAGCACCCTTTTTCTCTATAAATGCACAGAGAAAATGTTCGTCTGGACTTGTTGCATCATGTCAGCAACAATCTTATCTTTGTCTTGGAGCTCACCGTTCAAATAGTCCAGTTTTCCAGTAATGTCCGTTAAAAATGCAAGATCAAGTGTCGACTCAGTGTCCTCCATCAGCGACGTGTCTTCGCCTTTGGATTGCAAGATGTTTTAATCATCTCCTCCTCTTTGCTGACAGCTAGCTTGTCTCCACGGCAACCGTTGCTGTGAAGACTAGTCCTGATCTAAAATGAAACACTTGTTGTTGTTGTTGTTGTTTAAATTAAAAAAAAAAAAAAAATCTAATTTAGACCAATGCAAGTGTGATTTAAAAAAAAAAGAATACCAACAAAAATCTTAGATGCTGCTCACTGCTAAGTGGCGCTATGGTGAGCTATTTTTAGAACAGGCCGCTGGTGACTCGTGGTCCTTGTGGCCGTGGGCACCATGTTGGTGACCCCTGATCTAAAATAATAAAATATTTTGATCGAAATTATTTTGTGTTGTGCTCTGGAGAACTGTTATTATATGTTGATGTACAGTGATATAGTCCAAGAATATAAATATGGAGCTTGACAAGAGGTAACATTTCCACTTTAACAAGCGCAAAGGTAACAAATGAGACACGGCTTGTTTCATTCAAAGTCCCCAAAAACCGTGCACAATTAAAAACTACTTCAAAATCATCTGATCCTTATGAGTATTTTAATCCAGGCATCACAAACACGATCCCTGTTCTCTTTTTGTAGTGCTTTTCTGTTTTCTTTAATCTGTGCTGATACGCACACTGGTTGGACTGGTGTGTCTCTGTTTTCTGCCAACAGATGGGGGTGTTGCTATAGTAACGGAGGAAAGCATAGTGCGTTACTGAAATGTTTTCTAATAAAGACGATCGACATAAATCATCACAATAAATGTGATGGCCATTACAGGTGTCTGATTAGACCAATGTTTACGCCTGGATGATATGTTGAATATGAAAATAATTCCCTATTTGTAACATATAGTTATATTTATACTTAATTAGCGTATATTGTAGGGAACATAAAAATATCATTTGGAACAAGAGGGAGCAAGTATAAGGTGCTTTTTATTTGAGAACTAAACTAGTTTAGCTACCCTAAGTACTTTTATGTATAATTGCTCTAGATGACGCAAACAACGGCCACCTGTCGCTACGCAAAGTTTTAAGTAGATAGAAAATATACATCAAACCTATAAGTATGTAACACATTGTGGATCTTGTGAGGTACATGTTACATTAAAGGCGTTGTCGGCGTCATGCGTGATCGCCATGGCTCATCAGACAAGGAGTGGGGGGGGGACCCTGACAAAAGACGAGAGAGAAAGTAGGGTTTGTTGGCCAGAAGTTACTCCGAAACCCTCTGGGACTATTCAATGCAACATCTGCCAAGGGTGGCGACCCCTTTCACACCACTCCCCTGCGTTCATATAGCATTTCTAAACGGACTTTTCGCCAGTGCAATGACACAGCGAGGAGAGTGAGCGAGCAGAGATATCGGTAAAGGCTTTATTGGACAACCCCGCAGTGACACCCCCCACCAGGCTTTTTTTTCTTCTCGGCTGTGCGCGCGCAGGAGCAGCTGTCATTGGCGCTTGTGCCCGCGCGCTGCATTTAGCGAGACTACCCTGTTTGAAGATTATGCTGCAGCTCTTGGCCATCTTGTGTCAGACAGGATGAGAGTGTGAAAAAAACACCTACAAGGAGAGGAGCGTTTTTTTTCTTCTCAACGTTGACAGGCGAATACCACAGAGGCAAAAATCACGTCTGCTATCGGCGCTGTGTGTGTTGGAAAGACCTCGTACGAGCTGTGGATTATTCCTAGGACATCACACTGAAACCATGAGCTGGGGGACAGAGCTATGGGTGAGTCGTGGTGCACTTGTAACGTTTGCTCTCGCTTTATCATTGAGTGCGTGCGTATAACGGTTCTCAGAATAAACACGCGTGTGACAATGCGCAGTACCCCGCTTTTTTCCGCTAAAAACGATGTCTAGTGAGCACGTCTTTATGCGTGTTAGTGTTCGATGACACAAGCTAAAGGGGGGCTAATTTGTAGCAGTTATTGCGTGAGATTGTGTGTTTTATTACTACGAGGTGGCATGGTGTTGTTAGCAAGAAGGGAATGGTGCATAAATATGGGCAGCTAGCGTTAGCTCGCCATCCATTTTAGTTTACATTTGAGCCTTTCAAACCACGCTTTTGCACACACCCCCTCGCAATATAACACGGCAATTCCTGTTTCCCAGCGCAGACAAATCGTTGTGGCTGTTTGTTCTCTTTGCGGCGACGGTTGCCTTTTTTTCTCTTTGCTTGTTACCGTGTAATGAATGCATGGCTAACCCGCAGATAAATGCGCACATCTCACAGGCTGCATTATCAAAGCAAGCAGAGGAAGTAGATAAGGTTAAGTTCCCCTAGTTGTGCATCTCTGATCCTGAGGTTACTAAAACCAGAGGCAAATGTTGAACTCGTTCTTCCACTAAGTAGCAGGTTACACTCATTTCACTACTTATGGATTTATTACAGTCGCTACTTTTAAGCCCCCCAGCTGTGTAGTTGTTTGCATTCTCTAAAAAGTACTTGCATCTACAGAGAGATTTCAGATAGATTTTGAAGTAAAAAGTTTTGCCATAGTAGCTGTTTCGAAATAGCAGGTTAACGCAGGTGTTGCTAATCACATTAGCGAAGGATCAGAGGTGTAATTAATGTGATTAGTAACACCTCTTATTTCATGTCAAGATAGTTGCTGTGAAAAAAAAAGAAACCGCATACTACATAGGCCTGTCTGAAAAGACAATAATATGGTACCTGGAGTCACCAAGACCTTTATGAGCAGCAGGCAGCCGAAGACAAAGTAGAAGCCCGGTGACCCGACTACAATAAATTCCTCTACCATGATGTCACTTTTAAGCCTATTCCTCTTTGAAATTGACTTTCAGGCAGTGTTGAACTTCTTACAACCTGGAAGTAGCCCTCATCAAGCTAGCTGGCATTTCCTAATTTGTATTCAGACACATGCTCACACTTGTAAAGCAACCATGTAAAGAAAAAGGAAAAAGCAAAGCAGTAATGAACATTACAGCACTCTTTTTTTATGACTCGATAATAGGTAGTTGCTGCAAGTGTGAAAGAGTGATTCTTCTCCCCCCGGAGGTGCTTGCTTGTTGGCTGTTTCACAATTAATTGCACGTTTTAAATATAGCACATGTGCTAGTTTGTGCTTTGGCACAGACATGCATGAAGCCAAGCACGGAGTATAGATTTGAACCCGTCAGGAGGGTCAGAGTGTATTTACATAAACTCACGTTGCACCGTTTTTCATGCAAATATTTATAGCAAACACAGCTTCTTTTAATATGAGGTGTTCAGCTTGAGAAATGTATTTGCTTGGTTTTTACCTGTGTGCAATACATCACATTACAGTCTCTTTAGGATTGCAGCTTGGAGCCCTTTTTGCCCTGACACAAACAGCAGTCTAAAGTCAATGTTATAAGTTTGATTTTTTTTCTTCTAGTAGACATCAAGTGGTCTGGAGATAGTTAACGTAGGGATGTTTTTTCATTTCAAGAAAAATGGAGGGGGAGCCACTCACTGAATTCTCCAGTAATTTACCTGGTCCAAAGTTCACAAAGAAAACCAATGGCACTCCACATTTTGTTGCAGTTTTTCTGTGCTCTCTGTGTATTTTCATTTTTGTACCACAATGCTTGGCTGACAAATGCTATTGCCTAGGTAGTCATGCATAGCCAACATACCCTTGAGGTACTTTACAGACTTTCATGTGTACCTTTTGGTCTGGAAAGCATTTACAAGTTTTTTTTGCAGAGAATAATGTATTACAACCAGATGCTTGCTTTTTTTTCTTAGCAGGCTGAATAGAGTCCAGACACTTGATTCTTCAACATGCAGGTTGATTTGAGCAGTGCTCTGCAGGTGGACAATGCACACAGCTAATTGGGCTGTCGTCCCAACACAGCAACCTCAGCTATGCTATTGTGGCAGCACCCACACTTTTAAGTAGAACAAGGATGTAACTAACCAGTATGTTGTTGGTTAGATTGCATGTACATTTAGTTGTGCCCTGCATCTATGCATGATCTTTATTATGTACAATCCAGTTACTTTTATGTTTATTAAACAAATATAAGTAGACATCCCTCACATTTGAAGAGCTATAGGCAGAAAAGTTTTCACAATAAAATAGTTATCATAATAACTGTTTTAAGATGAGTGCACGGTTTCAGCATTAGCTGTCACAAGGCTCGAGTGTAATGTTGCACTCACTTAATGCAACGCTATCCATTTGCTATAAATCTAGAGAGAACAGCATAGCTGAACATGAATGGATGAAATATCAAAAATTCTGCTTGCGTAAACCATCCATTGCTTAATCATTGCAGCTGTAGTTATTATCCTGGCACAACACAAATTACTGGACATTAGCCTTAAAAGGAGCATGCAGCGTGACAGATGAAGGTTGAGTCACGACATGCACTGAACTTTTTCAACAAGCTCATCCTGTTGTTTCTCGCTTTGAACAGGAAAGTGTATGATATTTCAGGAAGTGAAGTAAAAGTAGAGCACAGTTTCTAAACTCATAGCCACATGGTGAGGTAGTGCAAACAGATCTTATGGCGATATTTCTCCCTTTGCTGCTTTGTGGAGACAGTAGAGTATAACTGAAACTTTATCACAATAGAGAATAAAGTGTTAGCAGAACTGTATCAAATTACTTTTGTGGCTTGCAAATGTGAGCGTTAGACAGACTAACAGGGTAAATAAATGAACTTGACTTGTGGTGGGTCTTTATTGTTTGAACTGCATTACTCACAATGAGTAAAGCACCAACCAGTCAACTCCAAAATGTTGAATACCTTTGGTGCAACATCACAGCACCGATAATAGCATTCACTGTGTTCTTAAAGAAAGATTTTGAGAATGTTTACTGGCATGCCATCACACTCATGTCCTTGTCACAGTACCAGTTAGATCAGTGTTACAGAAACAGTGTGTCAGAAGAGCCTAGCTGTGGTTTGCAACATTATTTCTAAACAGCATTTGCCACTGACAATACAACCTAACCAGTAGGGCTGCCACAAACGATTATTTTGATAGTCGACTAGTCACCGATTATATTTGCGATTAGTCGACTAATCAGATCATCATCCATTGGACGTAAAACGTACAGCTTATTGCACCAGCAGCATCTGCTCTTATATAACTATCATTAGCTTACAGCTTTAAGTGTTTCAGGTCTGTGCTAACTAAAAATAAAGACAAGATGGTAGTTTATTAAATTTTAATGAAATTTGCAGATTGTTTCGGTGAAGTTTAATAAACTCCTTGCTTTCTAAAATATAACAGGACACCGGAGTAAATTCTCGAGCATCTCACACTTCTGATAACCAGCTGTCTGCTTATTCAGCTGTGTAAAAACTACAACTTTAATCTCAGCCAAACCGATTTACTCAGGAACAAATAAAATACTAAAAAAGCCAAACAATAATATTTTAAGTTATCTAAGTGACTCATATATCATGTTTAACCTGAGTAGCGAAAGACGGCGGTGGGTTTGAAAACGAGCGCTAGTGAGCCTAGCCCCCGGCTAGCTAACAAGCTAGTGGGTAACAGACGTCTCCAAAAACGTCGGAGCGCTTTTGAAAATATGTGGTGTCTTGATAAACTGAGCAGATATTTGAGGTTTACACAGCTACATTCTCGCCTGAAAATATGTTAAACGTTTATTTTGTGACCCAGAAAGAATAATAAGAGTAATATTACAACTAACTAGCTGCCGCCATTGTTGGAAACTGAGCAGGGCTGCGCTATGAATTCTGGGATACAGTTTCTTCTTCGGGGTTTAACGGCAGCTGACATCCTTGTACATGCAGTGCTGCCATCTTCTGTTTCAGTCTGTTATTACACTCTTAAATCCTACTACTTATTCCTGCGTCTTTTGGGATCTTACAAAGCTTCAAACGACGCGTCGACTATTAAATCAGTCGTCGACGATTTTAATAGTCGACGTAATCGTGACTAGTCGACTAATCGTGGCAGCCCTACTAACCAGGATATTAAACATCATTACATTCTGACAAAATGCTATAAAAAGTAAGTTGGCATCAAAGTCTTTGCAAGATTGTTAGGAAATAACTGGCTTTCTTTTTGTGAAAGCAGAGAATTGAGTAAAACAATTAGAATCACATGCATGCACAAAAGGGAATAAGCATTATGTACAAATGTGACCGAATGGAACGAAACAAGAAGGAAGTCAAATGTGGTCTAACTTGTGACTGTTTCAATGTGGACCTGGTGTCAGAAAAAATTTACATTTTGTTCCTAACTATAGAGGTCTTGTCACCTTTAATTTAAAAAAAAAAAAATCTAAATCAAGTCAGATTGAAGTATTGAAGAAAGCAAGACCGCAGCATTTCCTCTGAGATGTTGCTCAGATGCACAGTGTAGAGCTGGTGCTTTAAGCTGCAGAGGTGCTACTATATGAAGATCAATGAAAGAAGAAGATGCACATAATATTCTCAAAAACCAAAGCTGCATAGCTGTGAAAACTGAAAAAAGAAGTTAACCTCACCTTCTGACTTTACAATGTGACTATAGAGCTTTCCATTATGACACACCTTGAATGTTTCACTTCTCTCGTGTGGATAATTTGGGAACTGGACAGAAGCTGCTTTTCTCACAGTTATGTTGGAGTCCACTAAGTCTGCACTGCCTGTAGGATGTAAAAGTGTCTTTTCCTGTGACATAACTAATTGATGAGGCAACATGGACAAGGCTGAAACTCTACTCAGAGAGCAGCAGCTTAAGGTGAGTTGAGCTTTACAGAAGCATCTCTGGATTTATGA